CCCCACCGGGACTTAACCCTTCTAAATGCTTTTCAACGTGAAGAACGAGAGTAAACAAAGTCTTAATTAATATGAGTGTTGTTTGTGGACTTACCCAGCTGAACGACATAGACCGTTCATTTCATTAAATTGATATTAATGTGAGGATATGATGTGGAAAGAGACTGTGGAGGGACACCAATAATAGAAATATGTGATGTTTAATTGGTTTAAAAAACATTAAGCACGACAATTAACAATTATTTTACATTCATTTGCTGATCATTTTCTCCATTTATGAATCATTTGGTCCATAAAGTTGTCAGAAAATAGTGAAAAATGACTGAAGAGATTTCCTGTTGACCATGGTAACATCTTTAAATTGTTGTTTTTTCCGACTAACACTTCTCACGATGGTTGCCATTGTGGTTGGACTGTTAAAATCAACAGCTATCGGGTTGGTTATTTACCTTAAAAACAGGATATTGTGGCAGGATATTGACGAGGAGCGAAGAGAAAACAACCAGGGGAAACGTTGCACAAGGGGGGGCAGGAAATTACCTTTTGTCTAACTGCTGCAGTGACTTAAGTCCCAAAATTTCCAACCAAAGTGATACTCTGAAGAGTGATATGTGCCGGTGAGCAGGTAGAGAAAGCCCGGCCCCGTTGTTTGCTCTCGGTTATTAGAATCGGGAAAAGTACAGGAAAGATAAGGCTGCCTCTGGACAAACAGTTTAATATGAAGAGCATCACGGTGACAGATTGTGTAATAGAGCATTCAGTCCGTGCACAGATACAATCTCACACCTACTGTGGGTGATGGGAGTGAAAACCCTGCTCACTTATGGGTAAAAATCCTGACTGTTTTTGATTGATCCCTGGAAAATTGCTTATTTACGAGCCTGAGTCCGCAAACCTTCAACACAAGTATTAGATTGAAGGAGAAGAGACGTGTTTTTCTTCCCGTCGGGCCAACCGGCTGAATTAGGAGGTCAGAGGTCGAGGAGCTGACGGACTAATGCGTCACGAGTCCGCTGCTCTCTGTGTTGTTGCTGTGAGTTGGCATCAGGCCGTGTTTGGTGTAATTTGGCTAATGGACGCTCTTGTTGGAGAGATTTCCCTCAGTGCCTGTTAGCCTGAAGCAGCGAGCTAATCCGTGGTGATATTATCCCCGCGGTCACTGTATCAGCAGTAATCCAGGGGGCCTAATCTCACCTAATCACAGATCTTTTATTCAGGGTTACGCAGAGACGGCATAGTAATATTGCGTAACAGCAGCGCCAAGCCGCATTTACTGTCCAGATGACACTTTGAATGGCGACGGTGCCTCGAATCAATGCACCGTGCCCGTTAATCGGGGCTATGAAAGGGCGTAGCTCGTGACGCTTTATGTGTGTAGAGTGTGTCAGACCTTTAAATAGGATGGCAAAGTCATTCTCTGAAAATATGCTCCCCAAATAGATCCATCGGGATTCTGTCCGTCCGACAGCCGCCACCGCTACGTAGACTTGGCAGTGAAAGTTATTTGTTGTGTGGTTGGTTTGCTGCCCAGTCCGCAGCAGGGACTGTGTGTGTGTGTGTGTGTGTGTGTGTGTGTGTGTGTGTATCATGAATATAAAACCACAAAGACAAGTTTCTAGTCGTGATTGTCCCTTTCAAATCACAATCTTGGGTGTTTGTAAGGCCGAGGTCTCTCTGGATGTGACTCACTGATGAGTTTGTGGGATTGTAATTACGACCGTCACTGTAATATCCTGCTTTAACCGCTACTGACGCTGTAATATCCTGCCACTCCATCCAGATCAGATGACACTGAGCTACACTGTACTACTGTCTTTGAAACCACCGTCTGGGGGTGAAACTCCTCTGAACCTCACATTGTTTTGTTTTGAATGGCTCGGGACGTTAGATTCATTTGGTTAAGGAAACTAGTGATACATTCAGAAGCCAGTGTCGTAATGCACCTCCAAAACTGCAGCAAGATTAGTGCTAAATGTATATTTTAAAATAAGATTCTAGTAAGAAGCAACTCTTGACAGAGATACCCAGTCGAGAGACACATCTTTAAACTCTTAAGCTTGTTGGAGCGTGAACTAGTTGTTTTCCTACCACTACCTTCGGCTCAAACTAACAGCAGCAGCACTGTGGTTGCACCTCTTTCCTATCGAAACAGCACAGAAGTAGCCTGAAGCAGTATATGACGACATCTCGACACATCACACTGCTGCCCACGGGCAAATTGTGTGTGGATTTAATAAAATATTTACAGGTTTTCTTAGCTTTTGCTTCTGATTTCTTTCTTTCTTTATTATTATTATTATTATTGGACTGAAGGTTGTCCCAACAACAACAGATAAGACGTCGCTTTTAAACTCCGGTTTGGCTCCATTACTTTCCTCTCGTTGTCACCATCAGTTGAGTTATGAGCACTTTTAAAATGACTTTAAAGGAGACACCTGAAGGCTCAGGTGGTTTAAGGTGTGCTGGAGCCTCACCTCATGTTGTGAGAGAGTGTGTGTGTGTGTGTGTGTGTGTGTGTGTGTGTACATGTGACTTCAGCAGGAAACTATGTGTGTGATTCAACTAATCTCAGCGCTCAACATGCCTCAGTTGCTGCTCGACTGGCTGCCATTAGCAAACAGAGGAACAGAGGGGGAAAAAGACGGAGTAAGACACACAAACACATACAGTAGTGGAAGAAGACCATGTGAGTCCCATTACTGCCCCCCCGCTCTGAAGCTGTGGGACAGGGATTAAAGCTCTTCCCTTTGTATCTTATTCTCTTGTTCTGATTGGGTTAGGTGAGGCTTTAAAAGACAAAGATTGTGTCTTTGTTGTTGTATGGGTTAGGTAAGAAGACTGAAGAAACATATTTTCTGACTTAGAAATATGTCACTAAGGCTTGGTCACCTTGGTAAAGTGGGAAACTGTAGTTTTTGTAGTTTTTTTAATGCTGTTTTTACTCCTCATTAGGGGTGAAGTATATCAAAAAATATCAGACTAAAAGGTAAACTTTTCTTCAGCCTCTTTATGCTTTTTATTTTGACTGCGACAGCTTGATAGAAAGGAAAGAAAAAAAGTCGCCTTGCTTACTTATTGTACCGCCAAATGTTTGCCAATACACAGCCCCACTCATTATTGTTCAATTGTTGTATCATATATTTTCCTTGGATTTTTCACTTAATTTATGATTAACATTTTTAGTTTAACACTATTTTCCTTCACTGCCGATGATCACTATCACTATTGCTCCTGATACCAACTACCACACAAGGATTTTCCCCAGTGGTTATATTGTACTTCCTAAGGAATTTATTTCAGTGTAAAACATGTTTAACAAATGGAAAGTAGATGAAATGTTCACAGAACTTGATACTGTTATGTCTCTTAACGTGATATTGAAGCAGATACTGATGGGACACTTTCAGAGGAACATACAGTGTATGCATACAAATGTGGGAATGTAACAACATGTCCTCAAGGGCTTTGAGGGTATATGGTATTGATTAAATCATGATTGTGGGACATAAAATGACAATAAAAAATTTGAAAATGGAAATGTATTGAGTACTTACTTTATGTTCTTGTTGTTCCCCCCCAGCTCTGCTCAGGAAGCCATGCTAATAAACATCTTCCTCTTGCGGTGAGCTGCTGCCTCGAGGACAGTCGGAGGCATCATGGCCGAGCTGCCTATTGCCCCAGGCCAGGTCTACATCGAGGTGGAGTACGACTATGAATACAAGGCCAAGGACCGCTTCATTGCCATCCGCCAGGGAGAATGCTACATGCTGGTCAAGAAAACCAACGAGGACTGGTGGCAGGTTCGGAAGGAAGAGGGGACTAAGGCTTTCTACGTACCTGCCCAGTATGTCCGCGAAGTCCGCAAAGCCCTCATGCCACCTCCTAAACCTCTCCCACACCCTCCTGCTGCCACCGGCAACACGCCTCCACACGGCGGCGGTGCTCTTTGGGTAAAGCCGACCAGTCTGGAGCTGAGTCCCCAGGGCCGGTCCACCGAGAACCTCCACAGAAAAGAGTCCAACTATCGGCGCTCGCCCTCCGCACAAACTGCCTCCTCTGGGCACTTCAGTCCGCCCAGTCAGCGCAGGGACACGAACCACCATCACGCCCCTACCACTCCCACCGACCACGACCGAGCTTTGGCCGACATCCTCGTCCAGGGTGGCGGCCCCCAGCCCGAACACAAGGGAAGGTGCAGCACTCTACCCCGCTCCCGAGCTCGATCCCCGGAGCTGGTCCGAGCCCCGCTGGACGTGGACAGCACCCAACACTGTGACTCTGCGGGTGAAGAGAGACGCACCAACGACTCGGAGTCAGGAGACGAACTGAGCAGCAGTTCCACCGAACATCTCCAGGTAAAGACTTACGCATTGAAACGTTTACAGCAGGTATAATTCAAATCAGTCATTTTGTTTCGGTGTGTGACACTGAGAGGTTTTCAGCAGGTGGCTCTGCCTGTTTTTCCCGTTTAGTTTATTTAAACTAAGTTTAGTCTTCTTTACTTCTTGCCTTTTTTTTTTTTTTTAAATCTGTTTGACACATTTAGGTGATGTGATCTCTTCAGAAAGTGGAGTGGTGTGTCACTCCAGGCCTAAAGCTACTGAGGTGCAGACAGCAGCCAGAGAGCCTCAGTGAGATGGGGCAGCTGATTACTCGGGAGCCCGGTCAGTGCAGTGTTTGTTCCTGAAATCATTAGCTCAGTCTGCTGCTGAACAAAAGCCAGTGAGAAAATAGAAACCGGGTCTGTGTTGTGCTGCCACTGGGTGTAGACCTCTTTTTTTTTTTTATGTGTGTGTGTGTGCCGACAGGAGGGGATTGCAGTACGAGTTGTGTTCAAGTTGAACAGTAGTACTTGTACAGTTTGTGGACTTTTGACCTAGAAGACCAATATGTCATAAATATCAATCCTGCCACAGTGCCATGGCAAACACAAATAGTCATCAAACACGACGATTGCTTCAGAAGGTTATTTGTGTTACGTGATAGTTGTCTTGGACAGATGTGTAGCAGCTTTTGTACAGATTTCACATGTGATTTGGGTGTTTGTGAGCCTGTCTGACATTCCTTTGAACTCCATTTTAGGTTAGATCAACTCTACCTGTAGTCCACTTTCAAAGAGCCAGGCTGCAGCTCTTTATATTGTTATGCCTCCTTTTCTTGTCTTTCTACCACAATATAACCATAATATCAAAGATTACGCTAAAATGAAACAGTAGAAATAGTCATAAAGATACTGCATTCAGTCTCCCACTGTGCTATCACACTGCTTCCAAAATGTAGGTTTTCTGCTCATTGATCTAACTGAAAATAAGATCGTTCACTAAATGACACTTTAATTTGTCTCTACAAGTTTACACTCTGTCAACTTTACTTTCACAAGTACTGATTTCAGAGCGATGCATCACACAATGACATAAACACCGACTCAGTATGATGTGTTTTTTAAAGGTTATCTAAAAGTGAGCATATACAATTTCAGCCTGTATATTCTCTGAGCGCAGCCCCAGTCAACAATGGAGTTCCTTCCTTCCTCGGTCATTCTGTGTGCCATTTAAATGGCAGGAGAAAGTTCAAAGTAGTCGAGCTGGTTTTGGTAATGTAGACAACCAGTTCAGCTTTGTTTGATTTTCTCATTGTGTGTCATTTGACCTGCAAATATCCACAAAATCTCTGCCTTTGGTCACAAGGCTTCTTATCTGCTTTTTAAAAATTCTTCCTCTTCAGATACTTTCCAGTTAACTTGCTCTATATCAATATTATGGCAGTGTCACCTGGATTAAACTGCAAGTAATCACAGCAACATAGCATAATCTAATGCAGTTGAGGAGTAGTCAACAAAATCTATAAAAAAAAGTTATTAAGTTTCTTGATTTTGTAAAGTTTATTAGACATTTCTGTCAACTCAGGAGTAAAATAGTCGTGTTTAAGTCCTAAATGGTGTTTTTTTTTTTTCACTTTTCCGGTGGTCCTGGTATAACTGTGATAATGCAGTTCGGGGCTGTCCTGCTATAGGAGAGACATGATGTCTTTTCCTATATGAGGACAAGTACATGACTGCATTATTAACACCATGCTGTTGGTTAAGTGATGATTGTTGTTTGGTCAGGTGGGCGTTTCCCCACACAGGCCTGCTGATGTGAAACTGTCCCACTTTCAGTGAGTTGCCTGTTTGTCCTCCGTCCTGGCTGCACGCTGCTGGTGACAACAGCTCAGGTGTTAGTCAGGACTTCCTAAAATATGCAAACCCCACCCCTCCCCTGTGACTGCTCTCATATTTTCTCATGTCTTTCCTACAGCGTCATTGTTTTTAACAGCATCATAAAAACCAAAGCCGCAGTGTAAATGCAGGACGTAGTAGAGCTGTGTGTTTGTGTTTCCAGCTGCCAGGCCTCGTTCCTTATTGCCAGCTCATCCAGCTCCTTGTGATAAGCTACTTGCTTATGAGTGTGGAGAGCTGTGCAGCTCCTTGCCAGACTCTTATCTGCTACACTGGACCTGACACTGGGGCCTACTTTGTCACTACTTCAGCGACAAGTCAGCTTTCAACAGCCACTGCTCTGTCATCCTCCAGGCTTTGTTCCTTGGCCCTTTTTTTTGTGGGGGTAGATGATTGTGGGGCTGTGATTATATCATCTATTCGTCACTATCTCCGAGTTGCTTGAAGTTTGGGATTGTTGCATGTCGTCTTTTTTTTTTTTTTTGGCCCTTCCAGGATATTACCAATCTCCTGTTCGTCATTAGCGATATCTCAGACACTGCTGACTGAATTTTGATGGTATCTGAAGGACTTATTAAGGAAATGGGCTTTTATTGAGTTATTTTCTCTCCATCGAAAGACCCACCCACACAGAATTTGAAACAGTAACATTTTTAATGGAATTGCAGTGATCAGTGGAGTTGCATGTGGGGGAGAAGTAAATCCATGTAAATCTTTCAACTTTGGTGAACTTTGTGACTCAAATTTGGACTGACAGTGCTGCAGAGAGCTTGAGAGTCAGTAAGCAAGCTAGCTTTTACCCACTTTATTGAATGAAAGATGCACAATCCAGACAACAAACGGTCAGGGGGAATAAACGGCGCATTGTGACTGACTAGCATGGTGTGTTTGAGTGTCAGTCGTTCACCAACTAGCCTTGTAACTACGACCTACATCAGTAAGCTTTTAGCATCACCTATTTCAGGACGACGCGTTAAGGCCTTAAATCTAAGTTAGTGTTTCTTTTGCTTCTTTACAGTAAAACCCCTCCAGTAGAGAGAACTGATAATAGCATTTATTGTGAAGTGGCTCCAGGATGTGTTTAGGTCAGGTTTCAGCTGTGGCTACTAGTTGGTTTTTAGTTTTTCATTTGGCCACCAGTTAACCTCCATACATAATTAAGGTAAACAATATTTTTCCTATTATATAATATCCCCACCAGGTACCCCATTCGGTAGCAGCCACTGCATAAAAAGCAGAAGGCACATAGTTTAAAGTAGATGTGCTGAGACACAACTATAAGGTAATAAAATAAATGGTGCAGGCATGTTGGAAATACTTCAATAGTAAGTTTGTTATATGCCCAACAGCCATTGATCCTTAGTTGGAAAACGTTGAAGTTACCAACTGAGATATCACCTGATACCTTCATGCATACAGTACGTTTTAAAGCCCCAGGCTACGGTGGATTGGACATTGTATCCACTGAAGCAGATGTTTCCCTCCAGCCACTGAATATAATGGCTGTCAAGATCTCAGTGCGTTTTAATTTGCTGCTTCACTGCACCGCCTCATCCAATCCACTTTTCATCACCTCTCTTCCTCCAGGATCATAATAATCCAACAGCACACGTGAGGAACACTGAGTATGTATATACCACATGCTCTGTGTGTAAGAACCTCACATAATTAGTTTGGGAAATTAACAGTTTTGGCTCCAAATAAGGAGTTTCTTTGACTTGCACATCCTGGGCTGCTGAACCTTGACTTTTTCTCCGGTCTTGTGATGGCATGCCCTAATCTTTTGGTCTTGTAGCTGTTGCTGTAGATAAAGAGAAAAATTACAGGGGAAGTATAAAAATATCTGGAGCTCTACAATGCAGTCCTGGCTTTACAAAGATAACGTTGGAGAAATTGTCTCTTCAGGTGGGGAATAACACGGCTAACTACAGAATCCAAGTCACCACTTAAATGTAGTTTATACACCATACGCTCAACTCACTGAACAACCTGGTTGATCCACTGTTAAGTGAGTTATTCTTCTCTAAAACATCACTGCAGTATTTGTCACAGCTTTTGTAATTCATTGTAAGTGCACAAAAATAGCATTTAATGTATATTGACTGATATTTTACCTTTTAGCTTGATGCTTTTGTCACTTGATTGTCCATCTTACAGTTTTAGATTAGCCCTAGTTTCCCCACAACTCTCTGTCCTCATTATTAACCGGGTGCTGGTATGAACCTCTGTCTGTCTCTGTATGTTTCCAGGGTGTCTGCAATACTTGAGAAAGTCTCCAATTTAGAAACTCGTACTCTGGAAGTCACCAAAAACAAGGATCATCTCAAAGAAGCCCCTTAATCCGTTGTTCTTTCTTCTTTCAGTTTCTGCTTAGTGTGTCAGTTCTGAGACTTAAAGGCACTTAAGAGTGAGCCCCTCTCTGAACCCCCCCCACTCCCTCACCTTTGATTGTCACAGTCAATAACACCCGCTCAACCCTGCAGACTCCCATCGTTCCTTATGACAGCTGTAATCAACTAAAACCCTCTAATGACTCTCAGCAGGGTGATTGATTGGAGGAAGCACTTCCTCATTTCTTTGATTACCTAGTGTGGCAGGAAGTTGATTTGGCAAGTGTATGTCTTCACACTGTCACACCTTGTTGTGCATTAAACGGTTGAAACACACCCGTGCCCATAAATGTTCATCCGGAGCACATAGAAATAAGTAATTTATTAATCCAGTCATTCATTCACCCCCACACAACAACACACACACACACACAACACCACACACACACACACACACACCACACCACACACACATGCATGCTAACTGGGTTAAAGTGTCTTGTCAGCAAGGGACACCCATTTCTGCTCAGTTATGCAAAGGAGCACACACAAGCAGACACATCCACACACACACACACACTGTCTGAGGGATCTGTTAATGGGAGCCAGACCATCTGCACTACTGTTAATTCTCTTTCTCTGCCTTATTAAAACGGCTTATTATATCACATGTTGGCAGGGAGAATCAGAACTCACTGCAGGGTCATTTAGATGCAAAATCATCCTCTTCTTTCAGGGGGTCTCAAATGTTTTCATGCCGAGGACCCCCAGATGGTAACATAATAAAGAAATGGGCTCCAATTTGTAA